AAACTTGGCAGCCTCAGCTGCCAAACGTCTCCTCCTCCGTTCCTCTGCAGGGGTTTGGTCAGGATCCTTAATGTCAACAACATCACTGAGCTCATCCTGCAAATGGCAACAAATTATAGCACCAAGCCACTGGTATGGCACACAAGATTTATTCAGGGAGAATTCAAGAAGGATGCTTTTCAGCATTGCACTGAAATCCCTAGAAAAGCTTCAGTCTCCAAATTCAGTCTCCACTATGCAAATAAAACATCAAAATTCCAAGGAAATGCAATTATTTGAAGCTCCTTAGAACTCATGATATTATCAAGTCTATTCAGGCTATTTCATCATAAGGCAGGGAGGTTATTTTGCATTATGATAAATTTGCAATGTTAAACAAAAGCACACAACCCCAACAAAGAAAAGATAAGAATCACACACCATTTGTGACTTTTGAGAATAGTCTCACTCTCTGAAGTGGCTGTACATTAATTAATAGGCAATTGCATTGCAGTGCCCTTTTAAACATCATTAGGTAGTTATTTCCCATCCCATTTCCTGATGGTAAATTTCTTCACAAATTTCATGGTAAAAAGCAGCATCCATGTCCAAACAATGTAAATACTTTATCCATAAACAGCAATCCTGCTCCAAACCCTGTGAAGACTATAATTCATGCAATAGTAGGTTAGAGTTACATAACTGAGTTGCACTTTTCAGAAGTTGTTGTCTTGTGAGCCAGGAAGCCTACACAGCAAGTTACCCAGAACTTCCAGGAGAGAAGACAAAATTCATCTACCTGCAGCCTCTGGAACACCCCTGAGCGCAAATTCCCAAAGCCATAGGGGTGCTGCAGTGGTGGAGGGCTTTCTTCATAAGGAATCTGTTCCATTTCCCAGTCAAATTCCTCTTCATTCTCTTCAGACAGCTCAGCAGAGGCAGCTGTATCTACAGCATAGTCAGAAAATTATTGCATAGAAAAATACGTGGTATTTCCTTGAAAGGTTTATTGTGCTACTGGTGTTTGCCTGTCTTATTTTACTGCATCTTTTAAGAAATCTCACTCAACACTGAGTCATACAGATCTCTAACCCACAAGTGCTGCTTCAGACTCCCCAACTTTCAAAAATGACCATCAGGAACACTAAATTTTAAATGCACTCCCTCAGACTGAAATATGTTTTCCACTGAATTCAGTAAGATCAGCATCTGATCCTAGGAGAACCATGACAGAACCTAAGTGATGTTATAATGAGTCATTTAAGGCAGGAATTAAAAAATCAGAGACAGCCAAACAGTTTTGTCTGTTAAGTACTGATGATAAGCAAGACATGCACTAGAACCTGTGCTTTTAATTAGCTTCTCACTTGAGTTTGTAGAAAGCACAAGACTCAACTGTGTGTGTGTTCTACAGCCACTAGAGGGGTACAAAGCCCTACAGAGCATTAGCATTTTTTAAAGCACATTTTAAGCATATTTTGGAAAGATTTAAACATAACTAAACCCCTAAAGTTGACATGTGTATGATCTGCAACATATTTATTTCTGCTCTTATCCACACTTTTATTTATTCACACCCTTCTCATACCTTGGACTACTCAATAATAAAAATATTGTACTTTTCTAAATTTATCACTCTATAAATCAATAACTGTTTCATTAGACCCATGTATCATCTTGTATAAACTAGATTGATTTTGTCATACCCATCTCTTCTACCAAAGGTTTTGCTGATCTTGATTTCTTTGGAGCTAAAAGAGATGTCAGCATGTCCAGCCCCTCAAAATATTGGCCAGGAACCTCCTTGGGCAACTGAATTGTAAAAGTACCTTAAAATAAAATAGAAATATTGAATTAAAATATCTGAGACAGGTAAACGTGCATTCTTCCTCTATGAAAAAGGCTCAGAGGAAGTAGGACACATACAGATAACATTTCATTTTTCATTGATCCCTGTGCATGTTTTTAACTTTATTTCAAAACAATTCAGGATTTTAATGATAAAACATGAAAGAGAATGTTTAACTACTGAAGTCTCCTGACTTACATTGTATAAACACAAACCAACATAAGCAAGCTTTATTTAATTTTTCATCCTTACACCAACAATCCACAGAAGCTACATTCACCAACCTGATTATTGTCTTAAGTCATGTAATAATGGCTCTGCAAACAACAAATTTATTGGTTTATCTCTTTTTTTCTTGTTTTAAAGCATAAATTACTGGAAATAGCAACATTTTTGACACAGACACCAATACCTTCATCTGTATTGTAAGATGCTTTTTCTCTGCCATCCTCCACAATTCTTCCAGGAAGTGTCAATCTGCAGACAAAAAATGAGATGCCTCACTGAAAGCCTGACTAATTCTGCAAGTTAATGTCTCAGCCTATGAAAATGTAAGGCACATTCCAAAAGCAGCACCAAGGGCTTAGCTACACTCTTCTTCACAGTAATGCAATCCATGCAGTTCAATCCCCCTGGATTCCTCCCAGGAAAAGACACACTCTACAAAATCTACACCCAGAGAGTTGTCTGGCCATTTACAATTAAAAAGCCATTGTACAGTAAATTTAGAAAAGTATTTCTTTCATCTCCCTTTAACATGATTTAATGGCTAGGAACAAAGAGGCCAGATCCAAAAAAACCAAATCTTTGCATGAACTGAGCTGTCTGTAGTCAGCAGAATAAAAGCTGCAGATGAGGAACATTCTGAAGGGACCAAAATTAAGCTCATTTCCTACTATGAAGATCAACTTTTGCAAACTTTTTCCACTACTTGCCTGAGAAAGTATGGCTTAGCATAAAATTTGAAGTCTTCCCCTTCAAAGTAAATGTCAAACTCTGAAGCTCGGGCATAAGGCACTCTGATTTTCACTGTAAGGAAATCCGGGTCCTGGGTCAGTTCAAAAGCTGGAGTTATCATGATGAATCCAGCAGGAAAAGCAAACTCTGCTTGTGTGGCCCTGCAGAAACAGGAAAAGAAGAAAACCATTATTGTAGCTCCCAGTTTGTGAGAGTGAGTGGTGTCTCTCCAAAATACTGTAAGAACATTTCAGATTCCCACATAATTATCCTCCATGTGCTCAAGAAGAAAACACTGATGACAACAGTGTAAAAGTGTTACCAAAACCAAAAACCATGAAGGTACCACCTCTCTGCACCTTAATGAAACAACTGAAAGTAGAGCTGCAGTAAAGGAAAGCACCTGTTACCTGCCACAGGAAAACCACATTAAAATTCAGTCCTAAAACCTTTCAGCTTTTCCTAACTGTTATTTATAATTCCACACACAGCAGATCTTAGACCTTTGTGGTGAAGTGAACACAAACCACTATTAAAAAATCCTAAAAACAAATAATACTTCCAAAAAATAGAGCTGTGTTTTTAATTCACACACATATTAGCCAGAATATGAGCAACAGATTCAAGGTAACATCCCTCAGAACCATAGGTACGTATATACAATGGCATGCATACATATTTAGCACAAGAAAAGGAATTTATATAATGCTATTCACTTAATATACAATTGTCTGACCTTTCAATAGCTTCTCATCTCAGGTTTAATTTAAAACCCAGTTATGGATTGTTTGGGGATTTTTTTGTTTGTTTTGGAAGGTATGTTTACAAAAGGTCACACAGTTTTGAAAACTAGCTTTTTAAACTAAAATGTTATTAATATTTAAACAATTAAAACCAGAATAGCACTGTTATTTGGGAAATAACTACTTCTCACTCACTTTCAGTTACCTTTACTAAACATATCCTCATTCTGACAATTACATGAACACCCAGAAATCATTAACCATTAATGAGGCTAAATTAACAGAGCACCCTTTATCTCATATGGGCAATTAGCCTTATTTAGCATGTATGAAAAATATTAAAACTTCCCATTTCAAAGTATCACGATTCCTGGGGCAACATTCCCACCCACTGCAGGCTGAGTGGTGTTTTATGTCAGGTGTTTTATGGAATTGTATCTAAATAGGAAACACCTGGCTGGTAGAACACCTACACCTGTACACAAGTTGCACTTTCCTGTGGATTTTCTTCTTCTCTCATCAGCACAAGCACAGCTAAGAGGCACCAAAACCCCAACAGCTCATTTGGACTCTTCAGGGATGACTTGCCAGTGTGTATTTTTATTTTCCCCAGTCAGAGGTCCATAAATAAACAGCAGCCCCAAAACCAGGCCCAGCTCTCCTGCCGCACTTGGAGCATCCCTGCCCCAAATTAATCACCCCAAATCCCTCTTGGGGGGTTCCCACACAAATCCCTGATACCTCACAGCTGAGGAACCACTGGGACGCAGCTCTGAGACTCCAGGTATCCCAAATAATCACACTGCCCAGCCTGTCGTGTGGAATAGGGAGAGGGTACAGGGCAGGGACAGGGATGGTGCATGCATTAAAACACAGAACTGCTCGGTTTAGGGGGCCTGGGGACCCCTCCAAGGCAGGGTCAGCTGGAGCAGGTGACACAGGAACCCCCGGTGGGCTTGGAATGTCCTCAGAGAGGGAGACTCCTGCCGCTCGCCATGCCAAAGTTCTTCCTCACGCTGAGCTGAAACTTTTTGTGTTTCATTTCACGGGCGCTGCTCCTCGTCCTCTCGCTGGGCACCCCTGAACAGCCTGGTCCCGTCCTCTGACACCTCTTGGCGGTGTTTATGTACATGAATCTCATTTTCCTGTTCTCCACCTCCCGCAGTCTCCCCCCACCAGAGACGCTCCAGACCCCTCAGCACCTCTGCTCCCTCTCCTTGTCCTTCCTGCACGCAGGAGCCCAGAGCTAAACACCCGCCCGCGCCGTCACACCGGGCCACGCGCTGACCTGCGGCCGTTCTCCCGCTTAGCCACCCAGCAGCGAGCCCTGCAAGGGGACAGAGCCCCCGGGGAAGGCGGCTGGCAGCGAGAGAATCCCGGGATCAGCACCGGGAAGAGCCCCGGCCGTGCCCGCCCGCGTCACTCACGGACCCCACGCCGCTCCAGCCGCCGCTTCCCGCGCCCGCCCGCACCGGGGCGGAGCCGCGCATGCGCACTCGGGCGGGCCCGCCCCCCTCATGGCCGCCCCTCAGCGCCGGCCGCCCCGCGGGCTCTGCCCGGCTCCTCGGTGTTTGTAGCTCGGCTCCTTTGCGGGAAACGTGCAGAAACACAAAGATCTGACGTGAATTCTTGCTGCCTGTAAATTTGGTGGAGTTTCCTGCTGTTTGCAGGAGTTGTTGGAAAGGGAGCGATTAGCGGGCAGTCCGGGTGTGGGCAGCGTGGCTGTGTAAAGCCAGGTCGTTTAGGGTGAAAATCACAATCCGTCGTCTGGACAAATGAAAAGAATGAATTCTTATCTGCTGTTGCCAAAAACGTCTTGCACAGACTGAGCATATTTTGCTTCAGCAGCTGGTTTTCATAAAGAAACGTGGAAATTGAGTGTGTTGGGGAGTTTGTTTCTTTTCTGTGACACGACTGGTTAATCCAGTACTATTCCTGTGAACAAATGTGCTATTTCTGTTATGTTTACACTCCTCCGTCTTCTCTTTGCTGCAGATAAGGTAGAAGATGAGTAAACAGAGGAGTGACCCCACAGCATTGTCAGAGGAGGAATTCCCAATTACACAAAGCTCTTCTAAACTACTGGATTAATGCAAACACTGACAGGGTGAACAGGGGACAGAGCCTGATGGAGCCAAACAAATACAGCAGGAAGGAGAACAAGAAGATCCAAGACTAGAAAAGTTGTTTTAAAAGCTGTAATTTATTAAATATACCTCATAATGTAGAATTAAAGTAATTTTTTTTTGCCTTTGGACCATAAGCGATATTTTGGTTCTAGATAATTCTCTACATTTTAAAATGCTGCTGACTGTCTTACTGCCCCCTCTGAAATGCATTCAAATATTTTTCCTGGAGGGAAAAAGAATAATTATGTAACCTCTCCTAATAAAGTTTTCTTTAAAAAAAAAAAGTAGACAAATAATCCTGCACACTGGAAATCCACTAAATATGTACTGAACTGAACCAGCAGTTCAAGTACTGCACAAAAATTAAACAATTTGCTTCAAAATACATAGTTCTCCCCACTGATTTAAAATTGATGGATGGTTTCAATATTCAGCCTAAACTTCCTTGTGTCCCAGTTTTTCACATGCAGAACTTGAAGATGCATGGCATATAAAAAGCTTTTTTTCATATGAAGAAGTTAATGATATCTAATTTCAGATGCTGATTTGGTTTGGACCAAGGCCTCAGTCATGTCCTCAGAAACTTTTGATGCATTTCCAGAGAACTTCAGCACTAATTAACTTTTAGACCTTACAAAGTAATCTGCAATAAGTGTATTGGGCAGGAAGCTGGATTATGAACCAGTAGGCACCATCTTCTCTAGATAAATTCAAATTTGCAGGACAAGCCTGTGAAAGATAAAGAAGTTTCATCTGAGAATTTATTCTTGTCTCACTGACCTTTCCAAGACTGCCTCAGAATTATTTTTTTAAAGCCTAAGAACTCCCAGCCTGTTCTCTCTTTTTTTTTTTTTGTGTGCTAATACTTTCCTTGTAACAGAACTACTAAAGCCTAAGAACTCCCAGCCTGTTCTTTTTTTTTTTGTGCTAATACTTTCCTTGTAACAGAACTATTTATATATTTATTTTAGTGAAGAAAGTGGTGCATCGGCCATTCTGCTTTTCCATCCAAATAAATGATGAAGTAGCATCTCCAAGGAATGAGCATTGCTTTCTTCGTAAAATACATACTGAATTTTTTTAGAGTGGAATGAAAAAGTTTTATTTGGAAATGTACGAAGACTACATCTATTAGTGCATCTTTCTGATGAAGAGAATTTGGCTGGTATATATTTAATAGGGCACAGAAGAATTAAAATGCATTATCTACAATGTTTTGGGCAAGTAATTAGGACAACTTGCTGTTTGAGAAATAGAAACATGAAACTTTGCAATTGACAAGGACAATTGGCTCTACATTGCTAATAATAATCAGTAAATCTGGCAACCTTGGAGATGGTGATCCAAAACAAAATCACTAAAAGGGCGTAACTGACACATCTAGAGGAGAAACTGATTGTATTGATGATACAAAAATCACACATTTGAACAGCTCGAGGATTTCAGCCACTGGTACTCTTTTTCATTAAGCACAAAGTTTTGGTAGGGTTTGATTATAGTCCATATATTCTTGGGAAAAAGCATATGTTTATGCATAGTGGTTTTTCTGTACTTTCTCATTTAGTATTGCTATTTTCTCTGAGCATGAAGTAATTTACATTTTCATGTCTGGCCACAATCCGAGTTGGATGAAACTCTTGAAACAGTCGTTGTTCATTGCATTTGGACCGATGCTAAGGCAAAGTACATTTTGGGGCACCACTGGTGAAGGCATGTGGTGTGAGCAGTGTAAGATGGACAGGCTGTACAGTTCCACTGCCGAGTGAATGCCAGTGTCACTTCCAGTGGCTCCAGGAGGGACGCGAGGCTCCTCCAGTTCTGAACTTGCGAGGCTCCACTTGCACTTCTCTCCTCTTTGGTGTCTCCGTTCTTTGTACTCCAGCTCCACGGGGCAGCAAGAGTCCTCGTATTTCTGTCACTCTGTACATTTCAAGGTCGTAAATCAGATTATGACCCCAAGCAGGATTTACCTCTGTGAAATACAGTGCTGTGATTTCTGCTGGTGTCCCACAGCAGACTAGGCTGGGATGGCTCACACGGGGACAAAGCCACCCACAAGTGAGTGAGCAAGCGAGTGAGTTCCTTCTGCAAGCATTGCCCCTTCTCTTCTACCTGCCCTCGGTGCAGACGGAATGAGGAGTGCGCATGATAAACAGGGCCAGCCAGGCGGAGGAGGCTCGCTTTCCCCGTTAGCACTGTCGAGACGAGCTTCCCCTTTTTCTCCTGATCACACTCACACTCCCAGCACTGCCCACCCTTGACACCAAAGCACCCGCGAAAGTACCGTGAAACCTCCGTGTAGCGGCGGTCGGTGCCCGCGTTAGCAACACCCAGCCCGTGGCACGTTCCGCCGTGCCCGGTCCGTGCCGGGGCCGGGCCGCTACTCCAGGCAGTACGGTAGGCGCGGCCGGCCCGCCCCGCCCCGCGCCGCTCGGGCCGGGCCGTGCGGCCACGTCCCCGAGGAGGAGCCCCGCGGGCGGCGGCAGCGCCAGCGCCAGGTAACGGGGGCGGCTCCGTGCCCCGGCCCCTGCCCTCGGGAATGCCCGGCCGCCGTGCCCGTGCCCAGCCCCGCGGGTCCCCTCGGCGGTGCCGCTTTGGTGCGTCGGGCGCTTCCCTCTCCCAGATGTGCTTCCCCCGTAGGGATCGGCGCTGGAAGGCGCTTGTGCGAACTGCTGAGGTTCGCAGGTACAAACTTCCCCTGCGCCTTTCCCCTGGCAGCGCGGTTGGCGGCGGTGCCACGGAAGGTTTTCCCCGTGCCCGAGCGGGGGTTCCCTCCTGTGCGGGAGCAGCTTCTGGAATTGCGGCTTTTCCCTGTGCTGGCCTTGTTTCGGAGCTGGGGCAGGGTGTGCTGCTCGCTGCTGCACGGAGCGCTGCTGTCACCCCGGGAGCTGCGCCCCGCGGGTTTGCCACGGCAAAGGGAATGCGGGTTCTCACTGCCCTGTGCTGCCGCTGGGTTCCGAACTGCGGAGCGCTGCCAGGTTTTAAGCTTTCGAGCTTTTTGTTTGGAGTGGTTTTTTATATGTAAATTAACTCAGCAGAACTTTAAAGGTGTTTTAAATCGTGGTGTGTTTCCTGTCCCAGCACCTTACAGCAGGGTATTTTTAAGAAAAACTAATTAGTTGAGAAAGGGCAGCTTTCAGTGGGTGGAGGACTTGTTTTCCCCTTTGCATTCCAATTATATTATGGTCAGTGTGACCTCATATATCTAATTAACTTGGTATGTCTTTGTGTGTCTGATTCATGATTTCACAGAGATGTTCTGAATGAAAGACTATTTCCGTTTCTTGAGCTCTTGCTCCTTAACTTATTAAAGCAGTTGGTTTCTCCCAGCATTGTTACCCCACTGAATGCAGGAGATGTTTTCTGGGGCTGAGAGTGGGCCACGGACAGAATTTAAATGCCGGTATTAAAGCAGGATTATTTCCACTAGCAACTGTACCTCCTGAAGTCATTTTTCTTTAAGGCATATCTCTGTGATTATCATGGAAATCAAGAAGAACACTGAAGGAAGGAGCCCGGAAAGTGTGGAACTGCCAGAGAGAGTAAACAACCATTCCGCTTCAAAGCGCTTTGCAGTGGCATCTTCATGTTTCACAATTTGACATTATCTAACTTTTTGATTATTTGTTGACTTTGCAAGTCCTTTTTACAAGGTCTGCAACACAACATAAAAAAAAAGGGAATTTAGTATTCAAAGTATGCATTTTCTTCAGAATTTTGTTTGTGGGGCTTGGTGGTTGTTTTTTCCCTCGTCATCCTGCACCACTGGCCCCAGCAGGAGTTTGTATAACTGAGAAGCACAATTCTGTAGGTCCTGTTCAGCCATTTGCTGAAAGCTTCTGTGTTATATTTGTTACTACTGAAATTTATTCAGGTGAGGGTATCCATAATAAAAGAATTTTTGTGGGGAGGGTGTGACATAAGTGGTTTGAAGTGGAGGTGATGCTTGCCTTGTTGGAAAGGCATCAAGTGGTGGGATCTCCTGGGTTTAGAAAGCCTGATCCAAGCTAAACTGAAAGCACTGTGGGGGTTTGAATTTGGATTGTAAGGAACAGGCCATGATTATCATTTTAGTTCCTCCTTATGAACAAAAAACCATTATTATTTTATTTGATGCAAGAGATCCCACTTTATCTAACTGATTCATTCAGGCTAATAATAAATCTGAGTAGGACTGTAGGATCTTGTGAGGTGACCACAGTGTACATGCTTGCATGAGACTGCAGAATTGATGGACAGAACTTGAATGTAAAACATTTAAATTCAGTTTTGTCAAGTTGCTTTGTCAGAGGATGCAAGTTTTGAGCTCAGCTCAGAAACAAAGGTGTAACTTAGGACTTGTGTTTGCTTCATGAGACTCAGCATCGTGCAGGGAAGATGAGTTGTATTTTGACTGGGATTTGTAATATTGCTCTCTTTTGTCCCATAATATCAGAAGACATCGGGTTTTAAGAAGTGCAGAATTCTTTTAACAAAAGAAGCTATACATAAAGGTTAATGTAGGCACATGTCATTAGCTGGCTGGTGCTTCACAGATACTTGCAATTTCATGTGTCCTGCTTTGGTCATTAGATAATTTGGACAGATCTAGGTAAGTTTCTGGTTAGCTTTGAAAGCTTCATTTTTTGTGGTGGTTTTACTGCTCATTCCTGCTGGAAGTAGCAAGTCCTATGCTTTTGGTAAGACTTTCTTATATGAAGAATTTTAAATACGTAGCAAACGCATGTGTGCAATGTATCAAAAAGAAGGAGGATTGTTTTACATTTGAAGGGCAGATGTGACCATGATCTCTCTTAAACCAGCCTGGCAAGGCAGGGGAAGTGAACCTTCACCAGCACATTTAGTTCCCTGAAAATAACTTTTCCAATGCAAAACATCCCTTGCATGGCAGCCTGTCAGGATACTTTTTTAATTTCTGTGCAGCTTGTGTGCACACAGATGCAAGTTTGGCTTGAGTTTGATAATAACATGCTGAAACCCCAAGTATTTCATTCTTGTTTCATAAAGAACCCACTTCATAAAAGAAGAGAGAAACATCCATTCTGGTTTTCAGTGGCTTTTTTCCCTTCCTCTCAGTGGTAGGAGAAGGTTGAAACTTCAACCATTCTTGGATTGACAGCAGCTCCAG